AAGGCCATTTTAGTCTTGCTTCCCATTGATAGATTCCATGGAACTTGAGATCTCTTCACTCGCGGACAAATTTGCAAGGCTCATTTGCACAGATGCGAAAATATTTAGCGACTTTTATCTTTCATCTTGATTTGTTAGTTAAAACGTAATATGCACCTATCCCTTTTTACGTCGGAAATGAGTTCTTTAATTAGTCTTCTTTCACTGGAGCTTGTTTTTTGGAAAAGAGTGATTTTTAAAAATTTACTGCGCATTGTGTTTGCTTTCTTGGTTTCTCCAAAATTTTGACTTTTCGTAGGCTCGTGTTACACGTAAGTGTCAGTTGGTTAAACATGGAGAAGAGATGTTTGCTCAAATCGCGTGGTACGCGTCGACCGAAGAGCCGATGTCAATCAGAGCTGTCAACAGTCAAATCCTCGCCAATGGGAGCTTGCATCAGGATCTGATGCACGGAATGGCGGTCCCAAATGTATATCCAGAGGCCTTTTCGCTATTTCCTCTCCCCAGTTTCCCGCTCGACCAAATGCCTGTTCACAGGCTAAACAAAACAGAGATTATGTATTTTAACCGTAGCTGGCACTGAGTAATGTCGCAATCCGATCGGCCAATTTGCCTATGTCGGTAACAGTACAAAAAGCTGTTCCTGTCATCGTGTCACGCAATGCCTTTATCAGCTCTCAAACATGGAAATTCTGAGGACGATAATAAGGTAAAAAGCCAATCGACAGTGCTGCACTTTGAGAGTCCACAACATTTTGACCACTGTGGTGAGGAATATCGTCGTAGATTAGAGTAAAAACCACGCTAAACTACTGTTGATTTTTTAAAATGATTTTAGGGTATAAAGGTCTATCGACCGACAGACGAAACTATTGAAATCAGCAGACATCATCACATCGACCAAAAAATTTTCAAACTGAAATGGATAGAGATTCCGTTTAACCAATTAGCAAAATTAGAAAGAATTATATAGCAGGAAAGATTCATCTTTCATTTGCTACGCGTGAAAAAGTGTAAGGAAATTAAGATTTTCAGAAAATCGCTCATGAAATTACGTTAAAGTTATACCTTTACCTTAAATTCATTTTTAAAATTTATTATTAGTAGTCCCATTCAGCCCAATGGGTGATAAAGACAGCCTAAAATTATTAATATTGACCAATCCCGAAATGAGGAAGGATTCAAAGGTAATAGAGATATAACTTAATTGCAATCCTTGGAGGCAATCACCACCACTCAGATTTTACGCCGTAGCGAACTGGTGTAGACTATTTCGTGAGTGAGGTCCAGAAAACATCTTTAAAGCCACAAGGCATGAACTTAACTTTGTGTGCTGCCGTAAAACTCCAGTTAAATAACGAAGGTGATTCCGCGCTAACCTCTTTTCACAATGTTGGCCTTAATCCTTAAACAGACGTATGTTTTTCGTTGTTCACGACTTAAAAAAATTCTGTTTTTGACCTCTTTCCTTTGTTTTCCCTGGTACTGAAAGCCAAAAAGAATCGATGCTCACGTTAATTTGTTTATAATGTGCTAATCTTTTTAATCTTTGTTTTTCCTCGCAATAGAAAATTAAGTACAATTCTTGCCGCCGAGGAGAATCGTGATCAATGAGACGAGGCTTAAAGCAGGGTTAAGTGCCTTTTCATTATGTTAGGCCTGCAGTTCTGGTGAATGTACATTTTATCGTCAATTGTTTTTTTATTATTCATTGTTTATACAGGCCAGTGATTAGTTACCCTAGCTAATTCCTAAGTAGTAATCTAATTTCTTTTTTCGACCGAGTCTCACCGTCTCGCTGTTGATTCATCTGAAGTAATAAACAAATTTCTCCTTTATCAAAAGGAAAGTTAAAATTTCGTTCGATTTCAAATTACTGTTTAAAGAACGCTAAGATCTCAAAGTAAACCTAAGACTTTGCACATTTAGTGCACCTTTCGAGAATTGTGATGGATAATTTTTTTTTTTGCAGAGCCAAAACCAGATAACAGGCCCCTGACCTCCTCAAAGGCAAAGGAACTAGCGCAATGGATGACACACGTTGTGGTACGCCTTTCCTTAGCAGGGACCTTAAGAAGTCCCGACGACAACGGCGAAGAAAGTATCCATTAATCAAAAACTGAATTTCAATTGATAGTAAGAATTTCGCGAATGGCTGGATGTGTTTTACTGTCTCTAACGGCGCCACACCTCAACCTTAGCATCACGTATGTGAGCACCATTGAGTTCCAAATTTAAACCTAAATGATTGGCCGTCAAGGTTTCCGTTCACGGACAATCTAAATTTTGGTGATTTCACGTTGTTGTTTGGCAGGGGACAGCACGAAATGTACAAAGTTTTATAGTACACGTGCTGAGCTATTACTTTGCCGATTCGATTTCTTGTTTTGTCACGTTCTCATTGCAGTTGCGTCGTAGTTTGCTTAGGGTCCCTAATATGTGGTCGACAACCCTCCACTCAACATAACAAACAGAGATCTTTTAATTCAGTCATCGCTTATAGACTACTCGAAAGTCCCCAAAATAGTTTTTCCCTGAACATTGTTTTAACAAATAAGCGACCATTTTGTTAACACAAGGCAGCATTGAAATAGGGGAGAGGGGATAGATGAATGTTAGAGAAAATATGCCAGTAATAGTAGTCAAGAGAGGATTTCATCTTCTTTTGTAGTAGTGGAGTGTGCCAAGAATTTTGACACTCATTGTAACTCCATTTATCTTCCTTCATTTTTTTTTTATATCGAAACAATAGAACATAGAACTCTTATTACTGTTTATACACCGCGCGCGGCATGCCTTCCTTTTGTTGTTCTCTTAGTTCATTTTTACACACGGAGTTTTCATTGACGCATTTTGGATACTCCCTAATCTTCCTTCGCCAGAGTTACGAAACACGTATGAACATGTTCTACAATCGATTGTTTCTTATGGAGTTATTTCAACAATTTACAGGCAACAATCGGGCTTTTTAATCTCGTTTTAGCGATACTCGATTACTCCGTGACAAATAAGCCCTCTGACAACCGATGGCCTTCTTTCATGTCTACGATCATTTATAAGGATGTGCTGCAGCTAAGATAAGGCTTTGGTTCAAATAGTAAGGTTTGGCCGAGGGAATTGGTTTGTATTGACTGTCTTGAATATAAGCCAGAACATATGCATGCACTAGAAAACTTTCTTCCTTTTGCTGTTTGTTCTTTTTACTCATTCTTTCGAAGGTGGTTTCAATTCGGCACATTTTGGCTACTCCTTAACCAATATTACTTAACCAGTCTTAACATGCTCTGCGATCGCCCCGTTTCTTATGGCATAATTTCAACAAATTATAGGAAAAAAAACGCGCTTTATTACCTTTTTATTGACAGCCGCGTGACAACTATCCCTTTTCCGGAAATTTGCAGTTGTTTTGATGACAAGTAAAGCCAAGAGGTGCGGCGCACCCCATGTGTTATCCCGTGCGTTTCCCCGAAAAACATGCAAGAATAGTTTGCCCTATCTGACCGATCCCTAGGGAAAAATTAAAAAGAGAAGAAAAAACAGACGCAGAGGCTAGCAAATAACTGAAAATCAAGTAAAATAAGATAATGCTTTAGTTGGCCTTTCAACACATTGCTATGCAGCAAGAAGCAAACGGCTCTCAATCCGGCCCATTTTGCTTACCTTTCGCGTCTAGCTCCATCAGCAGTGATGCGTCACCAGTCTTAGTATGTTCTTCAATAATCTTGTTTCCAATGACATAATTTCAAAACATTACAGACAAAAATCGCGTTCTACAGCCGTGTAGCAAATAACCCTATTCCAAGAATTCGAGATTATTCTGAGAGCTGGATAATCCAACAAACACGGTGCACGCTATGAAATTAAAAGTATCAGTGTACTAATGCGAGAGAAATACAATGCTAAGCAAAAGCAAATAATGAGAAAACAACAGAGGTAGTCACTAACAAACTTAAAATCCTTCTTCGATCTTTTTCAGAGAAGAAAAACATGTTCCCAAAGGAAAATTCTAGCGGTATTCCAGCACATTTCTATGCAGCAAGAGGCAAAAAATGTTTGATAAAGCCTATTTTGGTAACATCCTAGCCTCTCTTCTACAGCATTATATCATCAGTCTTACAATTTCTTAAAATTGTCCTGTTTCTGATAGCATGATTCCAAAACGTTTTAGACAACAATCGTGTACTTTAGCCGCGTGGCAAATAACAAGCCCTTTTCCAAGAATTCGGAATTATTTTGATAACAGGATAATCCAACAAGCACCGCGCACGCTATACATTATCTTTTCTAAGTATCAGCGTCCTAATTTGAGATGGAAAAAAAAAATTAAGAAAAAAAAAAAAAAACAATAACAAAAACAAAACGAAAAAAAGAATATTTTACAAACTCACTTTCTTCGTCTGAGAAAAAACACATGTCCCCAGAAGAGGGATTTTGTTGATCTTTCGGCACATCGCTATGCAGTGAGCAGGAGTTTTTGATACGGCCCATTTTGTGACCCTTTTACCTCGAGCTCCCTTCAGCAGCGTTGTGTTACCAGTCTTAGCATGTTTTGTGGCTCCATTTCTAGAAATTACAAACAGCAGTCCGCCGTTTGGTTAGCTCAAATAGTAGAGCGCCGGACTATCGTGCGGGAGGTCGAGGGCTCGAGCCATAAACTGGACCAACACTCAGGGTCTTAAAAATAACTGAGAAGAATGTGCTGCCTTTGCTATAATATCTGCAAATGGTTAGACATTCTACATGCAGTCTTCTTTAATAAGGACGAAAAACCGTGGGCCCCGTCTCCTGCATCTTCTCTGTACTGATTAGCAGGGGGACGTTAAAGAACCCCCTAACATATTGCAAAGATTAGGGAACGTAGGTCCCGGTGTTGTGGTCTAGCCTTTTCACTTAAATTGTAATGCGCATTTGATCACATACAGATGTTAATTCGCGCAATATAAATTTTACATTATAAATTATAATCGCGCTTTACAAACGCGTAGAAAATCGTTAATTCCACTAATTTATTCTTGTTTTTCTCATTGCCATGTTCCCACCAATAACGTAGCTCCATTTTCAGCCTTTAAAAGCACACACAACCCACAATTCCTCTATTCGCTCCGACGAAGGGCTAACGCTCGAAACGTTAGCTT